TTCCACAGGTTCATCCCTGCGCCTCAGCACCCTCCTGGCACCTGCCCCATCCCATGGTGCCGTTGGAGCTATTGGGTGCTTCGCCATCCTTGTAGGAAAGCCTTGTGCTAGAACATAAAAGGGAATTCCCAAAGGGATCCCTTCACCGGAACGATACCCAGGCAGGGTGCCTGGTGGCACTGGTGGACACTGGCTGTCAGGCCCACTGTGGTTCCAGCAGTCAAGGATGCTGCAGTGCTTTCCTCTTGAGTCGGAGCCTGCTCCTTCTTCACAAGAGGAGCTCGTAGTTGTGCTTTGGAGACTCAATTTACAGCACTCAGCCTTTGTTGGCAATATTAGTAACACCCAATTTCAAGAAGTGGTGAGTCCTTAAAAGCTTGCCAGGGCCTTGAGGAAAGTGCATGAGTAGCTTGTTCTGGGGAGAGATGCAGAGGCTATCCTGCCATTTATGCACTGAATATTCTCCCCGAAACCGTCACTGGACGTTATTGAGTGCTTGGGCTTGCCCTGAGGTGCCAAGGAGCGCAGCACATAGAGCAGCGGTGCCAAGTGCCAGGGAGCTTTGGCCCTGGCCATCAGAAGCCGAGGAGCACTGTGACTAACAACAAGGTGCAGCAAGTTGATTGCAAAGTTGTCCTGGGCTCTCAAGGCCACAGAGAGCTTCGCTATGGACTACAACCAAGAAGGCAGCTGCCAGGAGGGCATCTCACTTCGTTCATTCACCAACATGGCTTTCTGTGGTGACACGTTAAGGATTTAAGGATTTCTCTGTGGACTAATCAACCAGCTGCCCTGGGTGCCCACATGCTGCCTTTAGCGATGGGGTCTTTACCCATACAAGACAGGCCAGCAGCTGAGGCATCCTGCCCTGCCGTGGCTGAGCTCTAGGCGCCCTGTTAGAACCCAAAGACATAAAGAATCATTTTTATTTTGAAAACTGAACTTCAGCCCCAAACGTTTCAGTGCCCAATCTCAGTGTCTCACGCAAGGGGTCGTGTTGTGCTGCTTGAAGTGGCGTTGCTCAGTTTACTTTCTCCTGCGTACAGGAACTTTCTTCACCTGCAGCAGAATGAAAAGAACAGAAAATCACTGGGGAGAAAAATAGGTGAGTTGAATTCACTCATCCCAAGGTGGGAATACTGCAGTGTGAGGTATTTTTCTCTGTTTCCACACAAGTGTTGGGATCTTAAGATAGCCAGGGAAGCAGCTGCAGCAGCATCTGGGCTGAAAGTTGCATTTATGGGCTCATTCCCTTGCTCTTCTACCTGGTACGGTCCCTCCCCTGGAGAAGAGGTGCAGGCCTCTCTTGGCCATCCAGAACAATGTGCTTGCTAACTCAGCACGGCTTTTTTTAGAGTGTTAAGGTGTTTTTTTGTTGTTTACCGGGGTCAGACAAGGCTTAGAAATGAGATTTCATTCTGAAACTGATTCCGGGCAGCTGTGTGAGTAAGTAGTCGAGTACTTACAGAGCTGTTTCACTCGATCCTTTGCAGCACTGCCAAATAAAGAGAGAGGCCTGTTATCTTTTGCATTTCCTGGGCATAGAAGTATTTTTACTAATATTTTACATGTATTTAGTACCTTCCTTCTCAGCTGGCCCTATAATAATATTAAATATTTGATTTATCTGCTGAAAACTCTCTAAGCAAGAGGTCATATGTAGCAGTTCTATGGCTATGTAAAGCAACATTACAAAGTCTCATAGGGTAGAAAACTACAGGACATTGCGAACAAAACGACACTAAGCTTTTCATAAGAAATTGGAGCTTTCCATACCTTAAAAATTTTTTTTCTTCGAGCCACAATTCCAAACAGTATAGTGAGTGCAACCACGACGGCAGCAGCAATAACGGCCTCCGTGGGAAAAACAGGCTTTTTATCTGTTAAAAAGGAGAGGAAGTTGAGTACTCAGTAGATTGGTGCAATTTTGTAGAATGAGTAATTTCACAGATTTGTAGAGAAAAACTTATTCTCCTCTCAGTGCTATCAGTGCTGAGCTGCTTCTGCTCTCAGACTGTGCGTGCGGATCACCTAGAAAGATGGGAGCCAGGGGTGTATTCTAGTGAACTTAAAGAGCTGAAATGTCAGCCCCTGAAGAAGACCTCGACTAATCTATTTTGTTTGGAAGTGAGGATACCCAACCATAGCACAAACTGAGCTAATGCTGCTTGTCCAGCTGCTCTTGTGCACTCAAGAGTGTGGAAAGGAGAAGGGCTCAGCCCTTGGGGTAGGAATCAAGTGTCTGGTGGAGTCACTACCCATCGGAGGCCTAGACCTGCAGGCTCTCACTACAGTCCACCAAAGTACAATCATTTCTAGAGAACAGTCTCTCCTGCCTGAAGCATCTCTCTCGGCCTGGCGGGAGACTATGGTCAGGATGATAAGCTTCAAGAAAGACCTTGGGTGCCTTAAAACACCCTTGAATGTGCCCTGGCAGCCTGGGAAGTGAGAAGGTGGAATGAGTCCACTTCAGGTCATGTTTGCGAAATGTCTTTAGATAACAGGTAGAGCAGGAAAGACGTTTGCTGCTGCTGCTGCAGTAGCAGCCAGGCGCAGGTGTGAGGATATCTGTCTATCTCCTGGTGTGGCCTGCACTGTCAGGAGTTAACAGAGTCACTGAATCACTGCTTTCAACTTGCACTTCTTTAGACCGTAACTCGTATCTTCATATAACTAGATTACTACTGTTATAAAAGAGAATAGAATTATCTGTAAAACCTACTATTCATCCAAGTTACCTTCAACTGTCAGGTGGAAATCCTTACTCCTTTCTCCGAAATCAGATTTCACCAGACAAGTGTAGGTCCCGTTGTCAGACTTAACAAGATTTTTGATAGACAGCTGAAGGACATCACTAGTCTGGTACACCTCGTAGCGATCTTCCTCTAGGGTTAAGGTGTTGTTGTTTTTATACCAGATTGCTTGGCCTTGAGGATTGGATTTGGAATTACACTTCATGGTAACATGTTTTTCTTCTTCGACCAGGAGGGACTCTTCTCCAGAAAGGTCAGGAAGAACTGTTAACAGTAAAAAAAGTTAAAAATGTGATTATATCACCCTTTAGCAGCAAACGAGTTCACTTTGTATGTCAGTTGTGCGCCTTCTTCAGATGGTGCAACACATGAGAGTTCTGCAGCCTTTCCCGATCCCCTAGGATGGGCAGGGAGCAGGGCAGTCCTTGGCAGAGACAGAGACGTCCCTCCCGTGACTCCTGTGCCCTGACTTGCTTCCTTGAGAAAGAATCTAGGTGGAGGCAGAAGATCTTACTTAATGACCCACTCATTACTCCCTATAAAAGAGGCATTAGATCAGTCTTTATGTATCACTGTGGAAAGGGAGTGTCTTACCATGTGGGTTATCTCCTCCTAAATGCGTTTTTTTTTCTAGTGAGCACAATGTCCAAGGTGTAAAACACCTTCTCTTTACGTCATGCCCTGTCACCAAGCTTCTCAGCCCATGTCTTTTTCCACCCCAGCCACTCTTGAAGAGGTCCCCACTTCACAACTCACACTGGACATCCAGGATCACAGAGACCTGCACAGATTCGTCCCGCTTCAGCGTGCAGGTGAAGGCAACTCCATTGTCATCCGCACTGACAGGGGATATGCAGATGTTACTGACGTTCTCATTATTTCCAGCCTTGAGATCCACGGTCCCATCTCCTCGGTACCAGAGAAGCTCCTCAGCCTGGCTGTTGTTCTGTACTAGGCAGGAGAGGGAGAGTAGAGAACCAGATACAGTAGACAGGGTGAAGTCGGAAGCGTAATTATTCACTGACAGATCCACACCTGCAAAAGAAGGGGAGTGGGGACATTTAGGCATCCTGTGTTGTACCCTTGCCACAACATCCCTGCTGCCTTCTCCAGGCTGGGAGCTCCCCAGCTTAACCTTGGGGGAGGAACTAAGAGGGTAGTTTCAAGCTTCAGTCAACCTCACAGGTGTGTTTCGGGTGATAGTTTTGTTGTTCTGACAAGAATGTCTCTATTTGCATCACAAAGTTCTCTTCCCAATTACTTAAAACCAATGTGAGGCTTCTGCTACTGACTGCATGAATGCCAAAGCCTGACCTATGCAAACAAAATGTCTAAAAAAACACATTACATCAGTGGCAGTGTATCCCACATAGGAAAAGAAGGTCATGGAAGTATTTCCTATCCTCCTTATACTCACTGTCACAACCTACGTGTGCCCTCTTTTTTTTTTTTTTTAATTTGCTGCTTTACGGTTTCATCTAATTGCACTGGTTAATCAGGTCCTCAGGCACACCCAGACCAGCTTGTGAGTCCAGCTGTTGGAGGGCTTCAGTCAGTCTAACCCACAAACCCCAGGACATTTTAAAATTAAAAGATACTATAGGAAATAGATATCATATCAAACTGAAGTTCGCTACTGGAGTTGTGCCATACATAATGAACTAAAAATATAGTTCAGAATATAAAAGCACTGTGGTGGATTCTGTAAATATTACCAAAAAAAAAAAATCCAAAGCTCCCTTTCTTAAGCTTGGTGTTCCCAAGTGCCCAGACCTGTCACACTCTTTAAGTTCTCAGAGCATTTTTGAAAACAGTGGCCTCATCATTGCTGTGCAGTAGTAGCACTTGAAATACTGAGACTTCTCTATGCCTTTCTCTCTTGCTCTCCAAATCATGCCTAGAGGCCAGGTTTTAGACAATCTCCAGTTTAGGAATGATCACCCAGATCTTAGGAAAACTGGGATGCTGTTGTGGCATATCGCCCCGCACACTGCCCGGCCCCGGGACAGCACCGCGTGGCGACATTATGGAGCTCGCACAGCGCCGTGATGGATTTTTGACGTTGCTTACCTGCGGCTACATGTGCCAGGAAGCAAACTGCAAAGACAGGCGCTGCGTAGGGGACCGTGGGGCTGCTTTTCTGGGCCATCTTGGAGGAGCCCGGATGATACCTGCTGAAGAGAGAGTGTTGCTGCTCACAGCTCGCACAGGCATCAATCGCTCGCTGCCATCAGACACCCTGGTGAGGGCTCTCACAGGTGGTGGGACAGGGTCACCAGGGAATAAACCCGGCCAGTTTGTTTCAGACCTTCTCCAGTTCAGAGGTGAATCAAGGGGATTTTACCTGGGTGATCTCTGCCGCTTGAGTTCGTAGCCTCTGACTGACTTTCTTCAGGGAACCTGGAGGAGTGGAGCGCTGGACTTACCGTGGGAAGAATCCCCGGAGAAGTGTCTTTGGCCAAGGAATGTACAGCTCTTCCCCTCCTGGTTTATAAGGTCTGAATTTTAATGTTTTATGGTTGGGTAGTGAGGAGTGGGTCCATAAAATGGGTTCAAGGCCTCGTTCAATTCCTGGCTTTCTGAGCTCCCAGAACACCGAAGAAAGGGATTTGCTGGGTTCTCTGCTCTCTGTTTTATGAGGCTTGCTGGGGCAATGAGTAACTAATAAGAAAGATCCTGCATCAGCCATGGAAGCCTTCAACAAAAAAATAACACATTTTCAGTTTCAGCTTTCTGGGTATTCATGGCTCTGTTTCAAATTGTAAGAAGTACATCTTAGATTAACCTTGGAGCAGGAACAGACCCTGATTTGCTCCTTCCTGCAGCTTTGTCACTGGGTCGTCCTTTGAACTGCAAGTGGAATGAGGAGAAAATGTCCTGGTTGAGACTTTGAACTGGCTATGGCGGAGGGGAGAGCAGAGACACCGTCCTGCTAAACAGTGAGTACCCTGTGTGCTGGAGATGTCCTTCCAGCCTGTGTTGCTCTGCATCCTTCCACTCCTGTCCCAAGACAGGGAAAACTGATACTTGACCAGGACTGTGATTGTGTGACCACAAACCATGCAGTCCTTATGGCCTCCCAGAAGTGTTCCCACTGCTCTTGGTGTTCCCACAAACACGGGGCAACTCCCTGGCCAGGAGCTGACTCAGCACAACCATAAACCACATTTCACAAGCAGAAAGGAAACCTGGGACGTGTCCCCGGCATTTTCTTTGCTCGTGCACATGGTGGCCCAGCTCACCAGAGCAGAGATGGGAAGTCAGCTCTTGTTCTGTGGCTGTCTGTATGCAGGGGGCACAGGAGCACACAGCACCATTTGTTTGCAGGGTTATAGCAAATACAGGTTATCTTTGAGTGTTTCTTAGTATGATGTTTCTGTGTTAATTGGTTTGCCTTCTAAACAAACAAGGGAGTTGTTTGTACACATGTGTAGAAAAGTCTCTCAAAGAGACAGCCTGGATTATGCCTTCTAGAAAATTGTTTTTTCAGAAATTAGTCTCCAGCCTTCAACACACTTTTCACTTTCAAAATCAATTTAATATAGAAAGAAACTTAGCTTCTTCCATGCTCTTTCCATGTAACATTCAGCTAAATACTTGCTTATAGTCCAGCACAGTTTTTGGTCAAAATGCGTTTACTAACAGTAGAGTGATCTTTGTGGTTTGATATTAACCTAAGATAAAGTGGAGAGAGGTGGTCAGGGATGGACAAGGAAATATCTCACAAACTCCTGCCAAGTCAGGGTCAAAGTCATGAGAGTCCTGGTAGGTTTTTGTTCATTCTGGTGTTGCAACAATGCCATAGGAGAAGGAGGTGCTTAGACTAAGTGAGGTTGGAAGTAAAGAATGAAAGAATGGATTTTTTTTTTTACTTTAGAAATGAGACTAAGAAGGAAGGATGTCAGATAACAGCTGTTCTGCAGTAAGTTTGTTGTGATATAAGTCAGAGCAACAAACGGGACCTGAGAAAATTCTGCCCCAGATTTGCTGCAGGTCTGTGTTGCTGGCAGCAGAGCGATCGCAGGTTCTTCTGTTCTGCTTTTATTGAGTGGAGACAGTGGCAGTGCCCTGCTTTGCAAAGGGCTGTGAGAGCTACCAAAGGAAAGAGAGTAGAAAAGCAAGTTACTGCTTGGCTAGAGGCACTGAAGGGCAGAAATTTTAAACTGATAAGAATTACTTTTGCAATGACTTTTACACATTTATTTTTGTATAAGGTATAATTATCTTGAGGGAGTCTTAATTACTACTGAGGCCCTAGAGTTTTGTGGGTTGCATTATCCTCTTTTGCATTACGTTTATCAGCCTCATGTTCCAATACGTAAGTCAGCTGCTGATGAGTCAAACCAGGAGAAACTTCTTGTGTGAGGCATCTGCTCCATGACTCTCCACTGCAGAGGTTCCAGCACTCTCCTTTGAGGCGTTTGGATCAGGCACTATCAAGGCTGGCTTAGACAGACCATGGGTTCAATCCAGAATAATCTACCAGACTGGTTCCTTCTTGTGCTCCTTAAGGCATGAATGGACCAGCACACTCCAAAGACTGTTCTTAAATATGACTCCGAACAACCCTGAAAGGAAAAAATAAATACCAGTCTATTCCTGGATGTAATACAAGCTTTCGAAACCTGAGAAGAAAAGATTTAGAACATGATAGAGATTGGGCAAAAGTTTGTTTTCCACTTGGTCTCTTAATCTCCTTCTTCACAGTGGTTTGGGTTGTACTCGATTATCCTCAGAGCTTCAAGAGCAAGAGGCCACAACTCACAATGCTGTGGATTTTCACTGACAACACTGCACTTACGTTGAGAGACATTGCGAGGGCTGAAGGCTGCTCTTGGAGGCAGAAGTTGAACAGGATCACAGAATAGTTGAGGTTGGAAGGGACTTCTCGAGATCATCTAGTCCAACCCCCCTGCTCCAGCAGGGACACTCAGAGCACGTGGCACAGGGTGGCATCCAGGCAGGTTTGGGGAAGGAGAGAAGACTCCACAGTCTCTCTGGGCAACCTGTTCCAGTGCTCTGTCACCCTCACAGTTAAGAATTCTTCCAAGGATCCGCATGGACATGTGGAAGCTGTGGATTGTGCTCTGGGTTGGTTTATTTGTCAAGCAAACAATGTGTGTAGTGTAGCTGTAATCTCACACCGAAAAACATATTTCTGCAATAGCGCCTCAGGCCCCGCTCCGGGACTGCTCCTGTCTTCCCACTCCGTGTGGTTCTTCTCTCTTTATCTTTGTTAATGAGCAGTGCTGTGTATTTTGCAACACTTCCATTGTTAAGGATGGCTGTAACACCCAAACCCACTGTCTCCACTTGCCAGATAGCTGGGCTGGAAAGTGAAGCTGTCAGGGGATGGATCTGAATGAACTCATGCCCCTGCTCCCTCCCACAAACCTGATTTTCCTCATGTATAAAGATTATGGAAATGAGATATGCCCTGATTTCTCAAGCAAACTCAGAGCCCAAAACCCCATGTGCCTTCTCCTGTTGAGATGGACAGGCCTCAGATTTTTTTTTTCAACTTTTTGTTAATGATTCCTCTTTTTTTTCTCATTTTTATATAAAAGGCCGCAGGCTATGGTTTTAAATTTAGAGGAGAGATAAATGATTTATATTTGCTTAGGAAGGAACGAGAATAGCAAAAAGAGTATTAAACACACAGGCATATTTTGAAATATTAAAAGAAATGGCTTGGAGGGCAAGAAGCATTCCAATTCATCATCATCATTAATGAAGAAACAGGCCCTGAGATAACTAAAACCCCAGAAGCTTGCCAGAGAGCAAAGCCGAAGGATGAGTGTTGGGCACGGATGCCATCTACTGGATACCCACTAAGTGACCGGTGGATGTGACAGTCCTGCAGGCAGGTGTCCAAGAGAAAGAAGGTGGCACCTTCTGGGAACCCTGAAGAGAGAATATCCGATGAGATCAGCACTGCGAAATCTCAGAGACAGGGAGCTCTGCAGAAGCCTGAAGTGCTGCCAGGCATGTGCAGAGCTGTGCCACAGCCTTTCGGTGTCCAGGGCGAGGAAGGAGGAGGAAGATGCGCTTCTGAGGTGAGATTTCTCCCTGGGTTTTTCATCTACATTGGTGTAAATGTGGAGGCTGCACTTCCAGTGGTGTCACAGGGAACCATATCCTGGGCTCTCACTGATATCGTTACACTCAAGTAGATTGGAGAAACTCTGAGGATGGTGCATGAAAGTACTACCAAATTGTTCAGGCAGTTCCCACTGCTGTCTGTTACCAGCATTCAGCACGATCCTCTTATTTTCCAACCCCTCTAGGTCGTATTCTATGTTGGTTACATGCCTGGGATCCCAAGACAAGCCAGTTTAGAAAACTAAGAGTAATACATCAGTGTGGTACCTGCTTTCCTTATCTGAGAAATACGGTACCAAGTAAAAGTAAATGTGAAAGGAACTTGGCATTAAATTAGTATTGTAGGTCCCCTGCAGGTGCTAAAAGTGAATTATCTTCATTAAATTCCACTTAAATGCTGGCCCTCATTCTCACCTGGGAGACCTGTTTACAGCTGTCAGCTTTTACACTTATCAGTGCTCAGGTAAATTAATAATACTGGTTATGGATTTGCCTCCTCTAGCACGAAACTCCATTTCCCATCCAATTAAACCAATTACGAGGAAGTCCCTGCCTCTGCCATGGGTTTAGCCGGTATCACAGCGGAGCACATCTGTTTCCTTGGGACTTTGTGCTTTTTCTGGCCAGGAAACATGCCTCTACCACTAATGAACTGGATTTCAAGGTTGTTTATTTCTCCTGGAAAACAAAAATGCTTGAGGATTGTGCTGAGCAGGGTGCTTGTCCCTTACATGATTTAGGTGATCTCCGCTGTCCCTTAAGGAAAATCCCAAGCGTTATTCTCAGACCTGCTTCTCTTTCAGGGCTGTGTTCTGTGGCTCCCCTCCAGCCTGGACCTAGGATATTTTTGTCTACCTAGGAACTTTCATCACCAGTGGGATTTCTTGGAAGTGCTCTGCTGGAAAACCAAGTGATGATTTGATCTTGTGAAGAGCTGCCAAACATTATTAGCAGTTTTAACTTCCCTGCTGTGGAGTCATTCCTCATTCCCTCCGGGAGGAATCTGCAGGAGGATGGAGTTGCTCCGTCTTTGCAGTGCACGGAGACACATTTGCTGCCAATCTTAGGAGCAAACCGCACTCATCTCGGGCTGGAGCCACCACAGGGAGTGTCACGAGGCAAAAGCCACAGCCCCCAACTAACCCGCTTGCCCGTGTGCCGGCGCTGTGACTCCGTATGAGCACAGAGGCTGCCTGCGGGTCAGTCCCTGATCCACAACCTTCCTTACACAGGGATCCAGAAGCCTGAGCTCTTAGGCTGGCCCAAGTAGATGTGAAGGTTTTGTTGCTGATGATGGGATGACTCTGTCCTCTGCCACGTGCTGCTTTTAGAATAGGTTTGTTGAAACTCCAGATAACTTGGCTTTTATCAGCTGAAAAGGGAAATTAGCTCAGTTATGCTGTGTAAGTCCTCAGCAATTTATTTGAAGACGGTAGCTTTAAACCTGTGTAACTATGATCACTTGTGAGACTGCCAAATTCCCCTTTGATTCTCCTTCTCCCTTTACATCTTAAAATTGTCCCGATGGCCACAGTCTTTCAGCTTCTTCAGTTTCATTAGGTCAGGGGCATCTTTTTAATGCACCACCCCTGTTTTCTGCGAGTGCCTCTCATAAATGACTATGCAGTGTAGATGACCCCCAAGAAAGAGAAGACGATTTACTTTGCTTCTCCCCAGGGCCCTTTTGATGCTCTGACACACTTGGCTTACACAAAAGTTTGCATCATCAGATCTATCATGTAAAGGATCCCAGGATGCAGTGAAATCAAAGGCTCAGCCGGTTCCTTTGAAAATTTCAGTGTCATCTGCTAGACTCGGAGCTTGTATCTACAACCGGAAATGCCAGAGCTGGGAAGCAGATGTGTGTATAAGATAACTCGGAAAAGTTAAACAGGAATTGACATGATTTGCTGTCTGAGAAGGCCACTTTGAAATCTTCAGAGATTACAGTGCACTTTTTATAGGATAATTTACTGTGCTTGTTATTCATTATCGTCTCACCTGCCTGAGGAATTAGCAAAGATCTGAGATGAGGAAAAACAAAAGTCTGTATAAATTCTGTATCTGTGCAGACAAAGAGTTCTGTGGTAGCGCACAAAAGGCGGGCACGTTGTACAAAACATCAAGTGTTGCTGGAATGCCTGTAATCCCCTGGAGGCCGGGTCCGAGCAGGGAGTGAGGGCAGGAGGGCGGCCCAGCTGTGCCAGCCTGCAGGACACCCAGCGCGAGGAGCAGCTGCTCCCGCGCATGTGGAAGCAAGAGCCCCCCTGTCCCTTCCTTCCATATCCACGTTTGTTTCCCCTCTTTTGCAGGCTCTGCTCTATATTTTGGAGAACCTCCGCGGCAGCTCCGTGCCGTGCCTCCCCTCCCGGTGGTGCAGACATCGCTGGTGGCACAGGGTGCCGTGATGGGCTGCCCCGCGGCCGCTCTTGCCTCGCGGCACAGCCAGCTGCGCAGGGTTCATTACTCAGCTAGGGGCTCTCGGGAGGGGAAGGTGCTGCCTGCCTAGACCGGGGCGCCTTCTCCGAGAGGAAGAAGGGACCGTGTCCTCGGGGAGCGGCAGCGCCCGGGGCACCGGCCCCGCCGCGGCCGGAGGAGTCGCCGCCTC